CTTCACAGGGACCTGCGTCCAAGCCCCCCCAGCGTCCAGTCTCAGGGGCTCGGGGCAGGGCCATCCTACGGGCCCCAGTGTGGGCACACGCAGAGCCCCCGTCCAGAGACCCACCTGCTCTCCCGGCCTGTCTGCGCGGCGCTCAGCGACCCGGCAGCCTGGCGGAGCCGAACAGAGGCTGCATTGCGCCGGCCGGCGGTTTACCCACCAGCAGTAAGTGAGGACAATTATCCTGTCATCTCCAGCTCTCTCCTATATTAATCAGCGTCTCCCGGAGTGAGTGTGAGACCTTGTCATTTCTGTTTGCAGGCCGGAGGAGTAATGTGGCGCCCGGGGCGCCCGGACGAGGGGCGCGAGGGTGGGGCTGGGCGCTCTGGGAGAGTGACGGGACAGTGTGCAAATCGCCCTGACAGTGTTGTTGTGTGAGGCGTGTGGAGCCGCACAATGACCACACTGTGCCCCCTCCAGCAGGCCCCGCCCCTGCCCTGCACCCCGGCCAATCAGCTGCGCCCGTCTCCCGATGCACACACAGCCTCAACAGCTTGACTCTGGATCGGGACCCTGTGTGGGGAGACTGCATGCTCTGCTTCGGGCCTCACGGCTTTTCTCTGGGAACACCGGTCTCCTCCCGTTTCACACAGACATGCTGTCTGGGTTGACTGGAGACTCTAAATTGTCTTTTGCGCATACTGTATGTGTGCTTGTGCACAATCAGACGGACTAGAGCTCCAGGACTGAAGGACATTCTGAAGACAAATTAAAAGTATAATTTATATCTAGAAAGAAAATACTGCGTAAGCATAAAGGTCTTGACCTAGAAAAGGGCATTCTGTTTGGAAAACGCAGTGCGTTGCTGCACTAGAGAGCAGATGAGCTCAGGCCACTGGGGTGGAGGAAACAGGCCTGACTGCAGAGAACTGGGCACCCCAGCGCTGCGCCCCCTGCAGGTCGAGACGCCTCACTGTGGGTTGTACTGGGAAGTGCTGGGGGCGTTTCGATCTGTAAAAGAAAATCCAGTGTGCTCATGGGGTATGTATTAATTGCTGCGGTCAGGCTCTGTCCGAGCTCCTGGCTCCCCCGTGCGCGAGGAGAGAGGCGCTCCTGGCACTGGCGTGGGGCGGGGTCAGGCCTGAGGGCGGCGGCAGGGTGACTGCGCTCAGTCACGGCCCGCGGGGGGGAGAGGGAGGTGCTGTTGTCCACTCGCTGGCAGGCGGGAGAGCGGGGGGCTGTGCTCAGCTCCGGCGGGAGGGGGGCAGCAGATCAAGGAGAAGAGAAGATGTGTTTCTTTCTCTGTGACGCTGCAGGCTTACTCAGCAGCAAGACCTCTTTCTCCGCTGCCTGCATTCCTTACGTTTTTGCTCTCCCGCCAAGGAAGAGAATCAAACAGCTTTCTTCTCCCCTCCTTGTCTCCAGACAGCCAGGCCTGCCCCGGCCTCTGCAGGCTGCAGACACAGTCGGCCTGGTGACTCCACACACGTCACGGCTGCTCCTTCATATAGCGCCTGAGCCGCTGTGTGTCAAAGGAAGTGAGAGATAAACGTCCAGGGCAGCTCGCTACAGGAAGCACCTCCACTGGGGCCAGATCTCTGTGGGCTTGAAATCCCGAATACTCCCTGACAGACTCCGCCCCCTGGACCTGTCCAGCTCCTGCAGTGAAATGCGGCCCTGAACGTGCACTGAGAGCCGAGAGCAGGAGGCATGGCCTTGCACAAAGAGCAGCGGGGGTCTGAACCACCAGGATCCTTGGAGAAGCAGCTGGATGGGACCCTCAGCTAAGTGACCTGTCTTACGGAGCCGGACTCCTGGGGGTGTGAGTGTGCCCACCAGCAGGCTTCTGCACAGCCTCTGCTTGCTCTGAGGGGCCGAGTCTGGGGCTTCGAACTCCATTCCCACTGGTCTTCCCTCAGAGCCAAGACCACAGCCAACCCAGTGCAGCAGCTGTGATCTCCTGCTGGAATTCCCTGGTCTTAGAAATGAGGACGGTCCTCTGGGAATAACAACACCACAGTTTTAAAAAAAACATCAGATCTAATAGGGAAACGGTGGGGTTTTATTGTTGCTGAAAGGGGTAGTGTGAGTCTTTTGGCCCTGCAGGGTGAAAGTGGGCTTGGGGAGGATGGTCGGTGCCGGTGTCGGTGCCGGTGTCAGGTAGAGAGCCCCACCCAGCCAGGACAGGTGTGAAAGTGTGTGTCTGAGTTGCTGTTGTCCCGCTCTGACTGACAGCGCTGGGATGGATTGGCAGGCTGGGTGGCGGCGGCTCGTCCAGCTGTGTGTCTCCTGGGGGGGCGGCTGCTCTCTGCCCTGGCCTGCAGGCTGGGCCGCGGATCGCTCCCTGTGAATGGAGCTCTGCAACTCGATCCCCAAGCTGCCTGCCGTGGGATTCCTGTGGGATTCCAGTGGGATTCCAGTGAGGCTCCGGCCCAGCTGGGAGGGGACGAGTCACACACGACTCTCGCTGTTCCTGTCACATGGGTGTGGGCTCTGCGGCACCTCCCTGCCAGGCACAGGCTGGGGCGCGGGACAGACCGGCCCCTCTCCTCGCTCCGCCAGCCTGTCCCGGGACGGGCCCGGAGAGTCATCGCGGAGGCGTGGTGCGGCACAGCGTCCGGAGTTACGGGAAGCAGCCGGAAGCCGAGACAGAGTTCATTCTCGGCACAAACGTTTTGCAACCATGGTGAAATTGCACATTTACCATAATAAACTTTCATAAGCGTGACTCCGCTGGCTGTGTCGGGCACCCTTGGCCGGCAGCGTGCCAGACTCTGACCCTGAGGCAGCCGGTGCAGAGCTGAAGGGACAGGTCTGTCTGCAGCCTCCCTCCTTCGTCTCCCCAACACTCCCTGACTGGCTCTGCACACCTCTCCTGCACACACCTGTGCCCTCATGCCCTTTCGCTCGTCTCTGAGCGGACGTGATGCTCTGCTGACAGAGAGCTGCCTTATCTGTGCCTGTGGCGAACGCACACAGGAGATACACATCTGGAGATACTGTACCTTCCCGTGTTTGAGTGATTCCGATCTACATGCAAACCAGCTTGAGATAACCGAGCCTGACTCATGGCAGCGGCACGTTTCCATTTTAATCAAAGCTGCCATAACACCAGTGAAAGAGAAGCCGAGTATTGTGCATCTTCGAAGCCTCTCTCAGTGAGACCTGGCCACTCCCCTGTCACCCAAATCTCCACCTGTCGGATCACAGCTGCTTGTCGAAGCAGCTCTTCCCACAGCACAAACCAGGAAGAGGAGTGCCAGAGAGTCTCAGAAGCTCAGGGCTGAGTGGAATGACACTCAGCCATGAGCTCCTCAGCCAGGAGTTCAGGGCTGAGGAGCTCATGGCTGAGTAGGACGATAGGAGTTCAGGGCTGAGTGAGAGAACAGGAGCTCATGGCTGAGTAGGACCATAGGAGTTCAGGGCTGAGCTGGATGACAGGAGTTCAGGGCTGAGTGAGAGAAGAGGAGGTCAGGGCTGAGCTGGATGACAGGAGCTCAGGGTTGGGCTGGATGACAGGAGTTCAGGGCTGAGTGAGAGAAGAGGAGGTCAGGGCTGAGCTGGATGACAGGAGCTCAGGGTTGGGCTGGATGACAGGAGTTCAGGGCTGAGTGAGAGAACAGGAGGTCAGGGCTGAGCTGGATGACAGGAATTCAGGGTTGAGCTATCTGCAGAGACAGTGAAGTAACCTCTTGGTTCAAATAGGTGTCTGACAGCACCTGTTCCAGAAAACACCTAAAGACATCTTTCTTTTGATTGTCTGATCTCACAAACTCCCACCCCTGTCCTAGGGTGGCTGAGCTGGTTCAGTAGGTTACTGGTTTGTAAAAGCCTGTGACAAATATTGGGTTTTGATCACCTCAGTGGAGAGAGCGATTTGGTCAGCAATATGACCAGCTCTGGCCTTGGCAGGTGTCATTCTGAAGGCGCGTTGAGATTCTGCATTAAATTGCAGTTCTGAGAGTGACCACTGCTCTGTCCAGTCCCATGAACACTCTGCAGTTTGTGCCCATCAGCTGGACCGTCCAAGACAGGCCGGCGGTGCCGAGCAGCCAGAGCCAGCAGGCTGGGTCCTGTTGCTCTCTGCTCGAACCCAGAGCGAGCAAGAGAGAGAGGCAACGGTACGTGCCTCTCTTGAGAAATCGGATTGTGGTTATTTTTTTCAATTTTGCATTTTGCTTACCAGCAAACTGCATTTTAGAAATGAAGTAGTCATCTCCACAACTTTATGGTTTGCTATCCAAAAACTCATCTGTTTGCAGAGATAAGTGCAGCTCTGCCCGTTGCGACATCAGTGCTGAAGCAGCATCCTTTTCAAGCAGATCTGAGTTATCGATAGGGTCCCACTCCCGGTCAGGAGGCACTGCAGGGCACCTCCTCGGCGCTGTGGCGCGCAGGGAGGCCGGGCCAGGCCGCGGCGTGGGGCTCATGCCTCCAGGAGGGATCACAGCGGGCCAGCACGACAGCACGACAGGACGAGCCACAGAGCCCCGGTGTCATCAGCACGGGCTTCCCCTCCACTCTGCTCCCCTGGGCCCGGGAAGGGCAGAGGGGCAGGTGGAACCGCGGGGGAGGACGGGGAACGAGAGATCAGGAATCAGCCCCTGCTGCCTGGCCTAGGGGGGCAGGGGCAGGTAGATTAGGGTACTGGTTGCTGGTGCCCCGTGGTTGCCCCCCTCTCCTTGCTGCCCTGACGCCAGGCCGCAGATAAGGCCTGTGGAGGAGACAGGGGCTGCAGCCAGCCTGCGACTGGGGAGAGACGAGGAGAGCGTCTCAGCGTCTGGCCTGCCCCTGGATTCCTGAGCTCCGGTGTGAGAGCTGGGCTGCTGGCTCTGCTCGGCCTGCGTCTCTGTCTGTCTGCAGAGAGTGTGTGGGTGCGTGCAGGGCAGGCTGCTGTTGAGATAAGATAAGATAAGGCTTTATTGATCCCGAAGGGCGGGACTTTATTGAGGCTTTACAGCCGCCCAGCCCAAGAAAACCAAGATAGACATCAGAATAGGCTCAAAATAAACTACAGCATTAGAATAATTCAAAAGTATATAGATTACAAAAATAAAATAAAATACATAGAGCTGGGGTGTCAGCAGTGAAGTGGGGCGTGGGTGCCTGTCCCAGAGCCCACGGGGGGCCTTGCCGGGGCGGGCGGGGAACGAGGGGTGCTGTTTGTGGGGGTAACGCAGCCCCCTCTGCTCTCACTTCTCCAGGATGTTCTCCTTGTCCTGACTTCCAGCAAAATCCGGTCAAAACCGTCGCGGGGCAAACGGCCACAAGTGCGATGTCCGGTTTCCTCTGCTCCGCCGCGCGTCTCCGCGGAGATGGGGCGGCAGGGCCGCGTCACTGTTCAGCTCGGCTTTGAAACCTCTGGACACGGAGCAAACCCTTCTTCTGCAGCTCTGGGGTGCGGGCCAGAACTCGCACGCTGCTATGTGCCGCGGTCCGGTACCGTGACCTCGCCCTGCTCAGCGGCGCGCCCTGCTGGGACTTCCCCGCGGCCACCACAGGGACCCCACGAGGGCAGAGGGGGCAGGGGGGCAGGGGGGCAGAGTCAGCCCGCTGGCCAGCGGCTCTGAGGCCTCGGGAATGAGCGCCCTCTTGTGTCCTCCTTTCGGCCCTGCTGTCCGGCCTGAAGCTGTCCGGCTTCGCGTCTCGGAACAGAAGAAAGGTGGCAAACGACCTGTGTTTAGCAGTTAGAAGCTGAATGATCCCAGGGTCTCACCCGGATCATTCCTGAAAGAAAAAGGGCTTCGGCTTCAACAGCAGGGCTTGGGCGTTTGCTCCACACTCCCACAGCTCTCGGTTTTAAATGCACCTGCCTGTATTTTCCACGGGAGCCCCGAGGGTCAGCATCTGTGTGGCAAGTCCTGGCAGAGGGGGCTGCTGGGATACCAGAGTGCTAGTCCAACCCAGGACAGAGGCGGCTGGCTCCAGGGCCCCTGTGTGCTTCTCTGGGCTTCTGTTCTCTTGTTTCAATTTCACGCTCTGTGGATTTGGTGGCTGTAGTGAAAAAAACATGATGTAAAACAGTCACTGGAATAATAACAACGAGGTCAGGTCATGCAGAAATTAGGGCGTGGAAACATGATATTGTAAGTGGTTAATGCTGGGGCTAATTTATACTGTAGTAACCCCTGACAACAGT